CTGATAAGTTGGGGGTGCGGGGGCAACGCCCCCGCGGTACGGTACAGGGGTATTTTTGTAAATACGTCCATATTAGGGTTATATAAATACTTAAGATGTAACCCTACTTCAATAAGGAAAAGAACAGCCGCTCGCTCTCGTGGATGTAGGCACATTGCCGAACCACGTAAATCTCTGTGTGTTATTTTCTCCTGCTTTCTTAATTGTTTGATTCCTTACTATTCACCATAATTGCTGCACGATCACAACATGTGTCATTCAACTTGAGATGTTGTTCCATAGGAACAGGTGAAGGTCGTGCGCCTGATGTGCCAATATCATGAAAAATGTCAATAGTGTATTTTCGTTGACTAAAAAATAAGCCTTGATGAGAATGTGAGACCTCGATACCAAGAAAATATTTCAATGCACCAAGATATTTTATGTGAAATCGTTGATGAAGAAAATGTTTCAAGGTGGAAATTTCCATGGAATTATTACCTGTGATAACAATATCATCGACATAAACCAAGACAAATATGGATGAACTAGATTTATGTCGAACAAACAGAGAATAGTCAGCTTTGGATTGGGTAAACCCAGCATCAATAAGTGTATTAGAAAATTTGGCAAACCAATTGCGAGAGGCTTGTTTGAGTCTGTATAAAGATTTGTTTAAGCGACAAACTAGTTTCTCCCCCTTACTAGGATAACCGGGTGGAAGAGTCATATACACTTCTTCTTGCAAGTTTCCATGTAAAAAAGCATTGTGTACATCCAGTTGATGTATTTGCCAATTTCTTGTGGCAGCAATAGAAAGAAGAACACGGAGTGTGACAAGTTTGGCAACCGATGCAAAAGTCTCATGAAAATCAATTCCTTCAGTTTGGGTGTAACCCTCTGCCACACGTCGGGCTTTATAAGGCTCTATAGTCCCATCCGAGTGACGCTTTATTTTATAAACTCACTTGCAACCAATAGGATGTTTTCCCACATGACAGAGAACCAAGGTCCAAGTATTGTTTGTCTCCAAGGCTTGAATTTATGTTTGCATGGCAGTACACCATTCGGATGAGTGGATAGCTTGTTCAAATGTTTTAGGCTCATGCATAGAAGACAAATATGATAAAAAAGCTCTGTGGGAATGAGAAAATTTATCATAAGATAAATATTTAGTAAGAGGAAAAGGTGTACTTGATGACCTTGTAGTTGGCGAAGAAGATTGGACTTGAGTATTAGAAAAAATATAATCTTTGAGATGTGCTGGTTGTTGAGTATCCTGTTGGGAACGACGTAGAGTAGGTGATCCAGGTGACGTATTGGGCAAATTTGAATGATTGGGTGGATTTGAGATAAGAGGTAACTCTGTTGTAGATGGTTGAGAAAGAGTGGGGGTTTGGTCACCAAAGTCTGGTATGGGCAAAGGAAGAACTGGCATTGTGGAAATAGATGGAGATGAGTTTTGAAAAGGGAATGTTTTCTCGAAAAAGGTAACATCACGACTAGTAAATATTTTTTTAGAATCAAGATCACAAACTTTGTAAGCCTTTTGAGCATGTGGGTAGCCAAGGAAAATGCCAGGACGAGCACGCTTGTAAACCCGAACATGCATGTGGACGAAAAAAAATATAGGCATATATTTATAGTGCATATTTTAATAGGTTTATAATTAAAAAAAAACAAAATTAAGTTATTTACGAAAATGTCATTGCATGACATTTGTTTCCAAGTTGTTGCCTAGCAGCACAAGAGGAGTTCTCCTCAGCCTTCTCCATGATTCCAAATGTGTTTGAGGGGGTGTTAAATACTTCAGCAAGTCTCTGGATAATGGAGAACCGCCAAGAGAGAAGAGAGGGAGAAGAGAGAAGCTAGAGAGAGAAAATTAAATTTGGAATTTCGGATTTGTGGAAGAAGCTACTTCGAACGATTAAAGGTATGATACTAAGCTAATTTGAGGATTAGGAATCTCCTGATATCATTAGAATTTCATATGGTGTACTACAATTGCTCGAATTTATGTTTTAAATTTTCGAATTTTAGGTTTTTATAAAATGAGTTTTGAGTTTGAGGTCATTTTGGTTAACTTGGTTGGCATGGCTGTGTTGTGGGGAGGTAGAGGAGGATTTTGGTGGTTATTTCAAGGCTTGTCGTGGTTGGAGGTGATGGGGTGGTGGTGATGAAGTTTTGGCCATGATGGGTTTTTGATCTCTTGGTTTTGGGGGTCAAGCTTTGGAGGGAAGGTTGTTCCTATCTAAACTGGACCTTAGGAATCCATTGATGACCTTATAAATGGATTTAGAAGTTGTTAAGATAATTAAAATGCAAGTTGCAGGTCTGACCATAAACTAAAAATCTTATTTTTGGATTACTTTGACCAATTTTTCTTATGAGTTTAAGCTTAATTCGAAACTTGAGAATTATGGGGTTTTTAGAGTGATGTGTGGTGAGTGTTTAGGATCCAAAATTAGGTAAAAATGTGTATTGAGGAGGGATACAAAGGGTGAGAAATATGGGAGTTAGTGCTGATGGAAGAAGTCTAGGATTTTGGTCAAAGTGACCAAGGAAGAAGATGGAGTACACTAGTGCACCCCGATGGCGAGTGAGGACGTGTCTGAACTTTGATTGACCTCTAGTTGGTGTCAAAAGTTCTGTAACGTCCGTGCGGAGGTCCCGGTAAAATTTCAAATCGATCCAATGGCCGGATCAAAATGAAGATTAAAATAACTATTTTTGACCTCTGGGGCCAATTTGACCCAGTTTTTGGGTGATTTTTGGAAAATAAATCTTATATTCATTCCTAGGTAGGTTATTTGAGTATGTGTATGAAAATTCATTGAAAAATAACATCGTTTTATTTTTGGCTATTCTGGATCGAAAAACAGCGTAGAATAGAATTTCTCAATTCTGGATCAGTCGAAGTTTTTCAAATTCATTGTGAAATCATGTATTACATTCCTTATGAATTATTAATATATTTTAAAACTTATGATTGATGATCTTGAATTTAAACTGAAAATCATAGATCCGAATTAGGATTTTGAGTGCAGTAACGCACAGTGGTCTAAAACGATGCAATTATGGTTAATACAAAACGTTAAGAAATACATTCTTGTGCATTGATTTTCATTAGTTAAGCTATATTTGATTTGATACTCGTTTTCATTAATTAATGTGTTAACTGTTAGGGTTGGAGGGTACTATCTCGATTACGCATAGGGATTGACTATAAAGAAATGAAGTGTATCTGTCAGTGGTAAAGGTGAAGTGTACTGCTTCATAATACTTGGAAGTAAAAGTATATGATATACCAAGTTTATTCTCTTATATGTGAGAAATCAATTTTGCTGAATTGATTTGAGTTGAGTTGCTTAAGCTATGGATCAAATATGTTTTGTTGAAAAGCATGTGGTTTGTTGAAAAGCTTGTGATTTGAGTAGTATCCACTGCTAGAGTTGTTGATAGCTTGACATAGCTTACATGTTATTGATTTGGACGCTGCGCAGTTGTCGTGAAATAGATTGACATTGCTTAAATGTTGTAGATAGCTCGACATTGCTTAAATGTTGTAGATAGCTCGACATTGCTTAAATGTTGTTGTTGACTCATAGCACATGTTGACTATTTATTATGTTGTTATATTGGCAGAGATTATGAGATTTCAAAGTGGGTTGAAAACACTTTGATTTTGACATTCTCCTCAGATTGTGAACATATTTGGTGAACATATTTTGATATTTGATCCATATTTTTAATATCTCCATTTATTATGATACGCAGTACACTCAAAAAAATTATTGGTTTTAGGATGCTGAAGTCTAGAGTGAGGTCCACTACTGCACTAGCATGGGAGAGATGGGGAAAAATTAAGGAAATCTGGTTATGTACATACTGTACAAGAGTGTCTGTTTTTCTGTTGTTTGTTGTAAAGGGATGGAATCCTTATCTTTTATTTTGGCAAAAACGACACTACTGTGTACCCTGTTACATAGTTCTCTATTTTGATGGTGGCATTATGTGGCATTATTGATTTTTTTTTTTTACAATGCATTACTACATTACAAATGCAGGTATTGCCACGTGTTGAGTTACACTTCCATCTCTAAAAAATCAAAAAGGTCTCTCGGGATGGGGTGTGACAACGCTTGTCAAATTTGTGAGGAATATTGGAGTTATGAGCATAACATAAACAACCAAATACACGTAAATGGTCGAAGGTAGGTCTTTTGTGGAAAAGTAACTCATAAGGAGTTTTTCCATGCAAAACTTTGGTGGGTAACCGATTAATTAAATGTGCAGCGGCGAGTATACAATCACCCCAAAATTCTAAAGGCAAGTTTGCTTGAAAACGAAGAGCACGGGCGATATTAAGATGGTGTCTATGCTTTTTTTCAACCGCCCCATTTTGTTGGGGTGTATCAACACAACTAGTTTGGTGAATGACCCCACTAGCTTTCAAGAATTCTTGAAATTCAGCTTTAAAAAATTCTTTACCATTTTCGCTACGCATTTGTTTGACCGAACAATTGAATTGTTTATGAACCATAGCAAAAAAATCATGTAAATGGGTGTATGATTCAGAGTTAAATTTCATCAAATATACCCAAGTACTTTGAGAGTAATCATCGACAATGGTTAAGAAATATGATGCACCACAAATTGCAGGAATATGGTAAGGACTCCAAACATCACAATGTATAAGATCAAAACATGAACTTGTAGAAATCATGCTTAACGACATTAGTAATCGGCAATGTTTTGCCAGAGGACAAACGGTACAAGGACATTTATTTGTAATGGAAATGAGAGAATCCAAAGAGGATAACACAATGTGTGGGAAAAAAAGTTACACAACAATTGAGAGATTTGGTGAGTTTGCTAACGAATAACAAATTTAAATGAAAAGAAGGGACAAGAAGAACATCTTCTTATTTGATATTTGAAGTTGGACAAGCAGAGCCAACATGAGTGGCATGAGCACTTTGATCATTAGGTAATTTAATTGGGAAAGGAGAAGTCATAACATGGTATTTAGTTAATAAAGATGGGCGAGAAGCCATGTAGTCCGTATCAACCGTGTCAGTAATCCATGAATGATTGGATAACTGAGTGGATAAGCTAGAGAAACTACCTGCAACGTTTGCTAGAGGAGTCATATTACCGGCAGGTACAAGAGAAAGCAGCTGGTCAAATTGTTCCTTTGTGAACATAGGTGTATCAAAAGATTTTTCGACAATGGCAACAGAGGGACTAAAGTCAACATTTGCTGCTGTTGGACGAGTGTCGCGAGAGTGCTGGGCATCACGAGGTTGATTGGATTCGAAAGCCTTCCGAGGTGGATAACCATGCTTTTTAAAGCAACGTGACTCACTGTGACCGGCGGTGTTACAGTAAGTGCAATGATAAAAGAGTTATTTTCCATATTGATGCGCCGATGCGGTTTTATTTGCAACCATCAGATTGCTGAAGACCCATTGTAGGAACATCATTAATGGAACGATGTCGTTCTTCTCGTAGGAGAAAGGAATAGGCACGCTTGACAGAGGGTAAAGGTTCCATTAATAATATTTGGCTACGAATGGAACTATAAGAATCATTCGGCCCCATGAGAAATTCCATAAGTCTATCGGTTTATTGAAGTTCTGGAATAGAATTGAGTGCACCACGAGTACAAGGAGGATATGAATTATAAGACGATAATTCATCCCATAGCCCTTTAAGAATGTAAAATAAACAGCAACAGAAGTTGTTTTCTGGGTATGAATAGAAATAGCACGACGAATCTCGAAAATACGAGGAGCATTCTTTTGGGAAAATCGATCACACAGATCGATCCAAACTTCGGAGGCTGTAGAATTATATATGACACTGTTAGCAATATCACGAGAAAGGGAGTTTACAATCCATCATAATACCATGCTATTGCAACGAATCCATTGTTGACGGTTCGGTGATGCTTCATCAGGTTTTGGAATAGATTTATCAATGAAGCCAAGTTTATTCTTGGCTTCAAGAGCCTTGCGCATAGCCCTATTCCAAGTTGGGTAGTTGTCTCCTTGTAGAGGCTGAGACACAAGGACAGCACCAGGATTATTGGAGTGATGAAGGTAGAACGGAGAGGACATTTCATACTCTATTGTCGTGCTTGAGTTTGAAGAAACAGTAGGAGAAGTTGATGAGATATTGGCAGCCATGGCAAAAGCTTTGATAGATATCGGAGCTAACAGAGGAAAAGAAATTTTGTTGGTATGAATTACAAAGGCTCTGATACCATATTAAGAAACTGAATTGGAAAGGAAGAAAATTGAATTGATTGTATTACAGTACATGTGTTCTATAGGTACATGATTGTCCCATAATGAGTGGGATTGAGAGGAGGAATTAACGGGATATAAATCCTATACAGCAAGATATATGCAGTAAATCAAGACATATTCAATACATCAAGATTTAAGGAGGAAATCATGCGAGAATCAATCTAGTATAATGTTAATAAAACCTCAAAACTAGAGTTTCGTAACATCTTGACGAAGAATTTCAAACTGAAGGTTCGGTCAATAGAAGGGGCGACTTTGTCTCCCAGGAAGAAGAATAGTCTCGCGATCTAGTTGACTAATCACGTTGATCATTTAATTGGGGGGAACGTGTCACATTAGTGGTGAATGATCAGCGATGTCCTCTAATCACCACGACGAGGCTAGTCCCATTTTTAGTAGACTCAACTATAAATATTCATGAAAAAATGAATATCAGGCTCTTTCTTTCACAACTAACCCCAAGAAGTTTTTTAATGTCAATACTTTCTATTTCATCGAGCTCCAAACTTGTGGTAAGTTTACATTAATGCTTTAATAAATCCATCCTTTATACTATTCTCTGTAACAGGTTGTCATCTTGTAATTTTAAATTATATCGTGTTAAAATTTATTTAACTTAATTACAATCGCTACTGTTTGCATCTCCAGCATTACAAAACCCCGTAAGTTGATATTAATGCTTTTTAATAAATCCATCATCTATACTATCTTTTGTAACGGGTCATTATCTTGCATTTTTAAGTTGTATAAATTGAATCGTATCAAAATTTATTCAACTTATATCCGATCTATTGAAATCATGTAGAGTTAGATTCGTGTCATCTAGTTTTGTGTCGTGTCAGAGTCGTCTCATATATATAATTTGTGTTTATCTTGATTTGTTTAACAAAACTTATATCAATCCATGTACTTGACGGGTCACCCATTTACTACCCGATCCAACAAAGGCAAAATCAAAACTCACCAACTCCATCGATCTTGCATCAAGTTTGAGGGTAATATAGAGATTTTTCAGGCCTAGTGTGTACATCCCTTTTCACATACAAGCGCGCACCTTGACACAATAATAAAATTTTTCATTAAAATCTAAACATCATGAATTAAAGTTATGAAAACAATCTCTCTATACGTTGATAGAACTATAAGTATCTAACCATTCTCATATCTCTAAATGACAAAAACTTTCTCATATCTCTAAATGACGAAAACCTCATGTACATTGTACTTCTTTTTTACATGCCATGTTGTATATGATTACTTCTCCTATGGTTATCTTTCTCACTACTCTACTGACACTTTTTCCCTTCTGTTTCTTTCTTGCTATGAATTTCATTCAACAAACTTACTATTAATTAATCGATAATAGACTTTGAATCTTGAAGCAAATTTCAAAACGTCAAAATTTTTTATTCAAATTTACTAATATTTTTTATGGATGAAGACAAACGGTGCATTGAGTACAGGGGTACAATTTTCTTTTGAAGCAGTGGTTGTATGATAAGTCAAATAAGGAATAATTTTCTTTTACTCCAGTGATTTGCCTTATAATCACTTTACCTCTATAATTTTTGAAGGGTTAATTACAAAATATCCCCTTCAACTTTGGATAGTTTGCAACTCACTCCTTTAGGTTTTAATTTTAACAAATAGCTTCCTTTAAGTTTTAATATTTTGCAATTAACTCCAATAATAAAAGACAAAAGTTAAACATGTCAAATTCATGTGAGTAATAATTTGTTGAATATAGACAATTACACTTACACTTATTTTTTTTCCCCCGATAACAAATTTCCATGCCAAATATTATATTTTCTCTTTTACCCTTATACCCTTTCATCCTCCCCTACCTCGGATGGTTAACTTTCATTCCCTCCCCTTTTTGGTAGAAATCCTCACTTCCTTATGATGAGGCGGAAGTGAAGGTTTCTATATTTTTTAGTCTTGACTTTTTTGTTTCCTTATTTTTTTGGGACAAAATTGGTATCTTAAGAAAAAGAAATATGAAAAATAATGTACAACATGGAGGATGTAATGGTTCTTTCAGGTTTTCGGCCACTGTTGTCAGTCAATTTAATTCACCTGAAACTTGGTGAGGCAAATTACAACATTTCAAATCACAACGAATTGGTTATAACAAGGAACATAGTTGGAGGGAACGGATTGTAATTAACCCATTTTAAATTATGCTCATAAATTTGGACCAAGTAAAAAGAAATATGACCATTAGAGCCACCAATAACATTACTCGTTCTGAAATATACTTTGGATCAAGTTATTCTATATAAAGTAACTTTTCATCAAAAAAATAACCATATGGTTAAAATGTTTATTGTAATTAATATGTAAATAGACAATTAAAATGTTTATTATGGTTCAAATGTAAATACAAATAGAAAAGAGTTAGTGTAGTTAAAAGATTAAAATATGCCGTAAGATAAATCGTGAAATCTAAACGATGTAAGTCATGTTTTTTTCATAAAAGCAAGACACTCTTGCACGAAAGGGTCTTTGAAGAAAACAATATAGAAGAGATGAACAAACTCACGAAGCTATATTATAATTTAAATAAATCAAGGGTTGATTTGAACATTTATATTTTTTAAAAATAATAACGAGAACTATCATTTAGAATTATGACTGCTACCTACGTTCGAAAAGCACACAATAACCCTTTGGATCATTTAGTATTATGATTGCTACGTAAGTTCGAAATGTATACAACAACCCATTTATCAAATGCTACTATGTAAGTTTAGCATTTCTTATGAGACTCGAATTTAGAACCATGAACCATCAACTACTAAAACCTTGTCATCCAAGCTGTTTTGATAACAGTGATGTCTTTTTTGGAAACATGATCTTGCGATTGCACATATCTGGGCAATCAGCTGCTGTCGGTCTTCATTCTTGTTTTATTTCTACGTAAATCAGATAACGAAACAAATTTTCTCTTTAAAGCTAACTGAAGGACTCTCAAGTAACACAAAAAAACTCGATCTGCTTGTGTCCTGCTATGAGCTATCCCAAAGGGCATCCAATTAATCATCAAATGAATCAGTCCTAGTTACTTCACCTAATTTAGCAGTAGTACTTACAGAGAGAATATAAAAACTACAGAATAATGGTTTTCTTAAGAATTTTTTCATAATTACCAGTTGATGTATACACTTTTGAGTCATAGTTTTGGTTGTTTTTTTTTTAATATTTTCTTCACATTAAGAGGAATAAAACATAGAGAAATAGTTATTCTACAATTTCATAACTGATTTATCCGACTGTTGCAGTGTCATATTTTTTTTTTTTTTTGATAAAAAAAAAAAGCGTCATATTTGACAATACCATAGTTTGCACAGAAAACATTAACAGAAAAGACATATATACAATAATTTAGGGTAAATTACACTGACACTCCCTATAAATTGATCTAATTATAGAGATATACCGTATATTTTTTGAAATTATACTAATACCTCTTACTGTTTACCTATCCATTTCACAAAATACCTCTATGGTTAGCATCATTATTGGCAAGGTCAAAAAAGTGATTACATCATCAACTTTTTACACTTTAATACTCATATAACCCCTGCACAAAATTAGACTGATTTGTTTATTTTTGTGTCGTATTCATATTATTATTATTTTTTTTTAGATAACGTGAAACCTCTCTAAGGTAGAGCCACTTTGGATCTATCCCTGCGAGAGTAAACCCCGGATATTGGCAATCACCCACAAACCACAGGTATTGGTTAAGTTCGAGAGATATCAGTGAAAGTCAAGCCCTGACATCTGGGTCTACGGTTCCTTTGGGTTCAACTCCACACTACTGGGCTTCTTATGCGGGTGTGTTTGTATTCATATTGACCCATTTAAACTTTGAACAAAACAATTTAATCCTAAGATTAAAGTCTAAAACTCTATTATCACTTAATTGAATTCATGCTTATACTTTTTCTATAAATTAAAAATTAACTTAATAAACATAGCAATAATAATGAGTAAATTTTTTTTTATACAATAATTATGTCAAT